TGTTAAATAAAAGCAGTTTAAGTGGACACCCCTGTCTTGTTTTTGTTCTTAGAGGAAGTGGTTTTAATTTTTTCCCATTGAGTATGATGTTGGCTGTAGCTTTGACATATATGGCCTTGTATTCTTGTATTCCCACTTTGATGAGAGTGTTTATAAAAAACGGGGTTAGATTTTTTTGAGTGCCTTTTCTGCATCATCTAATTGGTAGGATCATGTGATTTTTGTCTTTCACTTTTTTTATGTGATGTATCACAGGTATTTATTTGCAAATATTGTGCCTGCCTCACAAACCTGGAATAAATCCAACTTGGTCAAGGTGTATGATCTTTTTACTATATTATGGAATTGATTTGCTAATACTTTGTTGAGGATTTTATCAACTATGTCCATCCGGGATATTGGCCTATAATTCTCTTTTTTTGTAGTGTCTTTATCTGGTTTTTGGAATTAAGAGCTTGGAAGTGTTCCTTCCTCTTGGGTTTTTTGGAATAGTTTGAGAGGATAGGTGTTAGTTGTTCTTTGAAGGTTCGGAAAAACCCCTTTGTGAAGCCATCTGGACCAGGACTTTTGTTTGCTGGAAGTTTGTTTATTACTCCTTCTATGCTATCAGTTGTTATTGACCTAATCAGGTTTTCTGATTCTTCCTGATTCAGTTTTGGAAGATTGTATTTTCTTAGAAATTTGTCCATTTCATTCACATTGCCTAGCTTGTTGGTATATAATTGTTCATAGTATTTTCTTAGAATCCTTTGTATTTCTGTGGTGTCAGTTGTTATGTCACCTCTTTCATTTCTGGTTTTACTTATTTGGGTCCTCTCTCTTTGGTTTTTGATGACTCTTGCTAAAAGTTCATCAGTCTTGTTTACTTTTCAAAGAACCAGCTCTTAGTTTCATTGATTTTTTATATTGCTGTTTTAGCCTCTGTGTCATTTATTTATGCTGTAATCTTTATTATTCCCCCCCCCCCTTCTACTTACTCTGGGCTTTTATTATTCTTCTCTTTCTAATTCTTTAAGTTGTAGGATGAAATGTTTATTATTAATTTTTCTTGTTTTTTGAATAGGCCTGTAGAGCTATGAACTTCCCTCTCAGGACTGTTTTTCCTGTGTCCCTGAGATTTGGGGTTGTTGTGTGTTTGTTTCCATGAAGTTTTTATTTATTTCTTGATCTCAGTAACTCATTCATTGTTTAATAACATGTTATTTAACCTCCTTGTATTTGAATGATTTTAAATACTTTTACCGTAGTTGGTTTCTAATTTCATTCCGTTGTGAGCTGAGAAGATACTGATATGATTTCAGTCTTCTTGAACATGTAGAGATTTATTTTGTGTGCTAACATGTCGTTTGTCTTTGAGAATGACCCATGTGAACTTGAGAAGAATGTCTATTCTGCAGCTTTGGTGTTAAGTATTCTATAAATATTAATTAAATCCATCTGATCCAGTGTTTCATTTAGAGTGTCTGTTTCCTTATTCATTTTTTGTCTGGAAGAGCTATTTAACAAAGTCAGCGGGGTGTTAAAGTCCCTTGCTATGACTGTTTTGCTGTGGGTCTCTCCCTTAAAATCCTTTAGAAGTTTTACATATATGCACTTCTATATTGGGTACATATATATCTTAAAGGGTTATAGTCTCTTCTTGGATAGATCCCTTTAGTATTATGTAGTGACCTTTATTGTCGCTTGTGATGGCCTTCATTTTGAAGTCAATTTTGTCAGATATGACTATTGCTACTCCAGCTAATTTTTTCATTTCCATTTGCATGGAAAAATTTTTCCATCCCTTTCCTCTCATCCTGTTTTAGTCTTTTGTGCTGAGGTGGGTTTCTTATAGACAGTATATAATTATATCATGTTTTTATATCCATTCAGCCACCCTATGTCTTTTGATTGGAGCATTTAATTCATGTACATTTTAGGTAATTATGATAGCTAGTTATTTATTGCCATTTAAATTCTTTATGTCTATGTTTATCTCTCTTTTCTTCTTCTCATTGTAGCAGTCCTTTTAGCATTTCTTGCAATGCTGGTTTTGTCGTGATAAACTCCTTTAGCTTTTGGTGATAAACTCCTTAAGCCTTTTATTGTCTGGGACACTCTTTATACTCCATCTATTTTAAATGATAGCCTTACTGGATATAGTTATCTTGGTTTCAGACCCTTGCTTTCTATTACTTTGATGACTTCATGCTATTCCCTCTGGCTTGTAAAGTTTCTGACGAGAAATCAGTTGACAGCTCTATGAGTGCTCCTTTATAGGTAATAAATTGCTTTTCTCTTGCTGCCTTTAACATTCTCTCTTTTCTTTAATTTTTGGCATTTTAATTATGATGTGTCTGAGCATGTGCCTGTTTGGATTCTTCTTTCTTGGCACTCTTTGTGCCTCCTGACTTTGTGTGACTTTTTTCTTTACCAGATTAGAGAACTTTTCTGCTGTTATTTCTTCAAAGACTTTCTCTCTTCCTTGCACACTTTCCTTTCGTATGGCATTCCTATGATATGAATTTTACATTTCATGTTGTCCCATAGCTCCCTTAAGGTGCCTCCTGTTCTTTAATTGTTTTTTTTTTCTTTTTGGTTCTCTGATTGACTGTTTTTTTTCTAACCTATCTGCTTAATTCACAGACCCTATCCACAGCTTCCCCTTTTCTGCTGTGTATTCCTTCCACTGTGTTCTTTATTAGTGCTATGTCAGTCTTTTTAGTTACTGTATCTTTTCACATGCTGTTGTGCATCTTTGTTATCATTATTCTGAACTCTCTGTCTGACAAATTTCTTATCTCCATTTCATTTAACTCTTCTTCTGGATACTCTTGTTCTTTCATTTGAGGCTTTTTGTTTTTGTTTTTGTCACCTCATTTTGGCTGCCTGTTTGGGTTTGTGTCTGTGTGTTAGGTAGATCTGCTAATACTACCAATCTCTAGTGCTGGACAATGTTAGACACTGTTTGTAACTGGCCCTGAGTACCCTGATTGGACTGTCAGCAATCCACAGCTTATAGCTCCCTCTGCTGAGGCTGGGTGTCTTTGGGAAGGACCAAGATGTGCAGTGGACTCTGCTTTTCCTAGACCTGGGCCCAGAAGGAGATCAGGCAGACTCATAGCCTGCAGATACCCACCTCTGCCTGCAGTCTGATTGTATTCAGGCTTGATTAGCCTTAGGCTATCGGTCACAGGGTGGGGCTACTTGTGCTTAAAGGTGTCCAAGAGAGGCCAAGCTGTAAACTAAGGCCAGATGCTGCTAGAGCCATGTCTGGGGCCACTTAGCAAGAGGTATGGTGTACACAAAGACCAGTTGCTGCTTATTTGAGTGATTTTAGGAAAGTCTGAAGCATGAGGCCAGAAAGGCCAGTTGTATGGAAACGCCTCTGAAAGCAGTTTGGATGAGCCTACAAATTGCATGGGGCTTGATCTAAGGCACTCACCATGGTAGGATGAATATTGTGAGCCAGGAGACTTGGATATGGCACCTGCCTGTCAGCTCTTTGCTTTGAGGGGTAAGGGGAAGGGAGGGAAACTTAGCAAATGAGCAATGGCCTCTGCCTGCATTTTCTCTGGCAGAAAGCTGCACTGCCTCCACCCAGCTCTTGGCCTGTTGCCAGACAATACAGTTTCTCTCCATATGTTCCTGATTCCTTTCAAGATGCTGCCCTGGTGCTGGAGCTTTGAGGGAGTGAGTTCAAGTAAGTCTGTGCACAGGCCCTTTAAGAGGGACTGCCTGGGACTCCAGCAGCCCTTTATCTCCCTCAGCCTTGATCCCCACTGGTTTTTACAGCTGGAAGTTATGGGGCCTTCTCTTCCTGGCACTTGAATCCTGGGCTGGGAGGCTTGGTGTGGGCCTAGGATCCTCACTCCTCAGGGGGCCCTCCACAGCTAAGATCTCTCTCCTAATTTTTATCTGCCACACAGTGGGTGTAGCACGAGCTCATTCCATATCTCTGCCCCTCCTACTAGTCTCAATGTGGCTTCTTCTTTAAATCTCTAGTGAAGGTCTTCCATTCAGCTAGGTTTTAGGTGGTTCTGAATGATGGTTGTTCTGTAGTTTAGTTGTAATTTTTGTTAATCTCCACTTTAAAGGAGATGCATATGTTTATGTGATGGTGGTTGGTGGTGGTTGAGCATGTAGATGTGTGTTGGGAACAAATGGGGAAGGGAGCTAATGAGTAATAAATGGAAGGCCAGGCAGCAGGAAGAAGTTACTATTTTCAAATATAAAATAGCATCCTAAATTTATTTCCCTTTCTGTCCTAAACCCAAAAAACTACAAATGGGAAATTAGTGTTTTTTGAGCCTCCAGGAAAAATATTCTTTCTTGCCTGTACCCCCAGCCCTTTGTAGAAGATGGGAATGAAGAGGTGTAAGCTGAGAACCCTCCAGTCTTTGGGAAAGGGCCTCAAAGAACATTGTACTTTGGGGTCTGTACTGCTCCCCTCCTTGGTTCTTCCAATGCTCTGGCTGCTACCCTCTTCACTCCAGCATCTGAGCAGTGATGGATGGCTCTTTTCACAGCACTGGGTCCTTCTCCTTGATAGATCTGTATAGAAAAGTCATGGGCAGTGCTAGCCGATCTCAGATCTCTCTAGCTCAGCTGGTTTAGTTATATGGTTTCTTAATCTTCACGTGTCCATTTTCACTCTGGTGCATATCCCTCCATCATCAGAATAAAATTATATTATACCAAATTATATAATTATATTATACCAAATTATTGTGTCTTTTAAATTTTCCTTTATGCTATTTGTCTATATTTGTTTGCTTACAGTATAACAGCCTTAAAGCCTCTGATCTTCAATGTAGTAAACTAGTACAAGGCTAATCATCTACCAGCAAACTCTGGATTGCTAGATGTTTTATTTGTTGTCTTCAAATGTAGTAATGGGGTTGCAGGTGTGATGAAATGCTTATGAGTGATGGCTTTAGGGAAATCAAGCTTTTTGTTTTCAATATTGATTTCCAAATGACTATGTATTAATGCATCTGTCTCCTGCTTTTTTGTTTCAGTACCTACTAGAAATGAAAAGCTTAATTCTACCCCCAGAACATATCCTGAAGAGAGGGGACAGTGAAGCAATAGCATATGCGTTCTTTCACCTGGCACACTGGAAGAGGGTGGAAGGGGCTTTGAATCTTTTGCATTGTACGTGGGAAGGCAGTAAGTAATTTTCTTTTTTTGAAGCATTTTTAAGAGCATGAAAAGATGCTAAACTGCTTTTACCCTGATTGCCCATGGTGAATAATGATTTGCACATCAATAGCTGTTCCTCTTTGTGATGTTCCTCACTTTGAGGTGGTTAATTACACAGGCTCTCCATTTCCCTGGTGGTGGTGGGTGTGACTGTGGTGGTGCCATCAAAAAGGCAAGTTTCTACAGCGGGTGTGATGAGTCTGGATGCTCATCCTTATGGCGGAAAACCCTTTTTGGGGACCTGGACAGCCCAGGGGAATCTTATTGTGGGGATCTTTGGCCTGGTGTTAGACCTTGTGCTGGGCTCTCATTACCACTCTCAGTGGACTTTTTGGATGGGTTAGCTAATGGGCCACAGCTCTCCTTTACGAGAGTCAGGAAGCCAAACACAGATGAGCAGCAGTTCTGCTCCAGAACAAGAGCAATGGCCATTGGACCCTGGTGCTCTGTGGCAGGTCATGTTAGACTAGAAGCCCAGTGCACAGATTCGTGCACTGGTGGGGTCCCTCGGTCTGGCCTGTGGGGATGGGGCTGAAACAGGCTCTCCAGTATACCCCAGGGGGTCCCAGATTGTGAAAGGGCACAGATAAGGCTGAGGGACCCCACTGGTGCACAGTCGGGTCTGGGGAGGGACTGCAGGAGGTCTCCAGGGTGTATCCGACCCATCTCATCCAGTCCTGATGGGCCAGACCCCAGGAGCAAGCTAACTTACCAGTAGAACGTCTGCCCCCTGGTGGTCCGTGCACATCATAGTGACTGGTCGAACAGTCCAACAGTCAACACTTAGCATATTAGGCTTTTATTATATAGGATGGCTGTGACTAGCTCCCATCATTCTGTGTAAGAAGAGGCTCAGATGTGGTGATATGTGCCCCTGCCCTGGAGAAGTTCTTCTCTATTTGGGTGTAGTAACCAAAAGCGTGTAGCAGCTGCCCAGTGGTTCTTCAGAAGGAAGAAGTCTTTGGGGGTGGAATGGTCATGTGTAACCTTACTGATCATGTGAGATTTGAACCAAACCTTGAAGAATTGGGCCAGTATTATAAGCAAGGACACTGGGAGAATGTAAATAAAGGGGAAAGCCCGAGACTGTGGATTATTGGACACGTGTTTTGACACTCTGTTATCATTAATTTAAGCAAAAACAAGTACGACATGTAATATGAAGTTTTTTTTCTTCTTTCCTGGGGAAACAAAACAAATATTAATCTTTTGTTAATTTTTTTGTAGTTCCTCCCTCCTCTTATCAGCTTTATTAAACAGATGTCTCTTTAATCCCTTTAACTCTGTTTGTCTTAGCTGCTTCCATTTTTATTTTTATAATCTGCTCTTCCCTCTTCCTGTCCTCCCTAACCTAGGAGGAATCCAAATTGGAGCAGGAAGAGGGCAGTGGAGGGAGGAACCAAACGGGGTAAAAGTGAGTTGATAGAGATGGATGGGACTCAAGTTGATTGAAAGTTTTTTGTTTAGTTGTTTTGAAAATATTTCTTTAGATAATTAATAGTTGGTCTACGTAGACAATTTACCACTTATAACATGCGGGATGTTGATTTGATTGATGCTTCTACCCCCACCCATTCTGTAAGTGCATTAACATGTTCCAGGGGTCCTGGTGCTGGTACTTGGATGTGTTAGGACAGCACACTCCTCTCAGGCATGTGTGGGCACATACACAGTCCCCTCTGGCTTCAGTCATTGTTGCATTTAGGATGTTCTACCCAAATAAGACAGAAGGAATTTTTATTTAAACACAAGAGAGGAAAACTACACACACACACACACACACACACACACACACAAAACAACAACAGAAAAATCATAGCAAGATTGAACATGAGAAGCCTCAACCTAGTTGTGGATAAATTAAATGAACAGATTGACTTACCAAATAAGAACATATTCCTACATCAGCATTTTGGAAACAGTAATAGAAGCTTATCAATTGGATCCAATTGGAAGAAAAAAAAAGTTGCCAGTTCTGCCCTAACTGATTTGGCTCAGTGGATAGAACATCAGCCTATGAACTGAAGGGTCCCCAGTTCAATTATGATCAAGGGCATGTCCCTTGGTTTCGGGCACATTCCCAGTAGGGGGTGTGCAGGAAGCAGCTGATAGGTGTTTCTCTCTCATCGATGTTTCTAACTCTTTATCCCTCTCCCTTCCTTTCTGTAAAAAAAAAAAAAAAACAATCAATAAAACATATATTTTTTAAAAGTTGCCAGTTCTATAGAAAGGATCAAAAGGGGTGCACAGGGGCAAAAAGTGGGAGAGACGCTGTTAGGAATGCATAACTAAAAAGAAATTCTCTGAGAAATAACTGGAAATTCTATTTGGAAATTAGTTGCCCATATAATCCTTTAACAACAAACAGATGCTTTGAATCACCTGGAAGGACAATGGGATTTCAAGCAATGTGATGTGACATAGTGAGTTCCACAATCAAACAGGGGAATGTAATTATTAGAGTAAAAGAAAGATGAAATTCTATACATAAAACAGTATGGCAAGACAATGAGAGTTCTATAGGAAAGGGAATTTCTGCTCCTGGTTCTTACTAACAAATAGGAACCACTCCAGGGAAGTTACACTGCTCTTCGGTTTTCCAAAAGAGATCCGTGGAAGTGCTTATTAGGTTCCAAATGCCTGTGGAACACCAAGAGCCTTGAAGAGCATTTATAGAACTGGGTAATCCTACAGAGGGTTTGCATTTCCATCATCTCATGTAGTCTTTCTGGTAAAGTTCTGAGTTAGGCAGGGCAGAGTTATCCATCTTGATTGCTCAAGAGCAGGACAACCCTATCCAGTTTGGCTCAGTGGATAAGAGTGTTGGCCTGTGGATTGAAGGGTCCTGGGTTTGATTTGGTCAATGGCATGTACCTCAGTTGCAGGCTAAATCCCCAGACCTAGTTGGGGCATATGCGGGAGGCAACCAATTGCTGTCTCTTTCTCTCTGTTTCTCCTTTGCACTCTTTCTAAAAAAATTAGTGGAAAATATTCTTTGGTGAGTATTAACAAAAACAAACACACAAATAAACAAGAGAGAGGAACAGATTAATTGAGTAGAGTGACTTGTTGAATGCCATGCAGCCATTGTTGGTGGAGCCACGATATCAACCTAAGTTCACTTTACCTTCACTCCTCTTTTCTGTAATATCAGCCAGTTAGGCCTTTCCTGCATAGAAAAGAGATCAGAGGATCAGTTCTCTTTGAAACATTTGCCTACGCCCTCAGCTTCTTCATCACTACTTTCAGGCTGAGGTACAGTATACTTACTCCCTTCCTAGTGTTTATAAAGTTAATCATTGTATATAAAAGCATATTTTTTATTGTTGAATACTGACTTAAATATTTTGAATGTAGAATGAGCCCGTTTTTATTTAAAAAATAAATCCAATTGTAAACATAGGAAAGAAACTGGAAATTAATACATCCTTAAATAAATTTTAAGTGATTTTTCCCTTCATATTTGCATTTTTAAATTTTTATGCAAGGATATATATTTCCTACAAGCATAAATATGTGTATATATATATGTGTGTTTATATACATATATACATAAATTTAAAAAAATATTTCATTACAAGCACTTTGGTCTTTTTACAAACAAAGCTATAAATCTGTCATGCAATTTAGATTTTTAAAAAAATACCATTTCAACTCCACACAATTGTATGCAATCCTTTGCCATTACTTCTAGGTCAGTGTCCAAAGTTAAATGAAAGCACCAGAGCTCTGAGTTTTGTTTTATTTTAATTTACTTTTTAGTGAGGTGTAATTGACATGGTCTTAGTTTCAGGTATACAATGCGATGATGTGATAATTTGTACATACATAAGATCTACTCCCTTAGCAGCTTTCAAATATGCAATACAGTGTTATTGACTGTAGTCCCATTTTATAACTGATGTTTTTACCTTTTGACCCCTTCACTCGTTTCACTCCCAACATCCTATGGTAACCACCAATCTGTTCTTTGTATTTAGGATGAGCTCTGGATTTTAAATCAGAGGACTTGGGTCAGAATTCTGACTTGCCTGTTTACAGTGGTATTTACTTAATATACCCATTTTTTGAGCACTGTGAATCACTCATGATATTGAAAGCCAGCCCCTACCCCACCCCCACCCCTCTACCCCCTGCCCCGGGGGCTTCCGCGCAGTTGCCCAGAGGGTGATTGCAGCACCTGGGCTGCGCCCTCTCCCTCCCCGAGGAGTTGGTGGGCCTCCCCTGGGCCGCGCCTGAGCAGGAGGCTGCACTTCCTCCAGTGGCCACATGGTGGTGCCTTTTGACATCTCCAGCCTCCTGGTTTAGGTTTTCTTCTTTAAATCGGGTTTGTCTTCCTTCTGAACGATTAGGGCATCCCCAACTTCCTTTGAGTGTCCCCTTTTCATTAATAGGGAATCCAGGGGGAAGGTAGCACCTAATTTCACTAGTTTCCATGTTAAAAATTAGTATCTTTTTGGTCAAATTTCAATTTGGAGATTAAAAAAAATCTGTTAGAAGTATTGTTTAGGGTTGGGGATGGAGGTTTATTTTGCTTTTCTCTTGTGTGTGTGTGTTTGTGTGTGTGTGTGTGTGTGTGTGTGTGTGTGTATGTGTTTAATGTTGGAGCATTAGTCATCTTGTGGGATTAAGTGAGTTTCTCAACAATTAGGCTGAAATAACTCACTTTTTTTTTTTTTTTTTTTTTTATAAAACCCCCAAATCCAGCTGATGCATGGCAGAGATTGTTTGGGTTTGAAACATATGGTGGTTAAATAAAGAGTCCTCAAGCCGCAAGTACATCAGCATTTCAAAGGTTTCTAAAATGTTTGATTCATCACTGTCCCAGCCCTTGAAATTACACAATCTGTTCCTTAAAGTCAGAATAATCAAGAAAGGGGAAAAGTTTTAATTTATAAGATTTAAAAATATGTTTCTTAGCTCATTACACAGCTGCCATCTTATCTGAATTATATTTATTTTAAACACTGTAGGTTCTGGTTAATATCTCTCTCTCTCTCTCTCTCTCTCTCTCTCACACACACACACACACACACACACACACACACACACCACTGCAAGTATGAGTTGAATATAAAAAACACATATGAATACAGGATTCCACTTGAACTGGGTCTTATTTCCAATGGTATTGTGCCTTTGGGGCCCTATTTTAATGGCACGTCTTCTGTCTTACCCTCATTAAATACTGCTGTGGCCTTATCTCCTTCCTACCTACATCTTTTCCAGGCTGTTTTGGTTGCATTTATTTTATAAAGCAAGGTAGTCTGTGAACTTTAAGACTTAACTTTCTAATTCTATATATCAGAAGACTAGTATGCCATGGGGTACATCACTTAGCTTTTCTTTGTTTCCATTTATTCTGCTCTACCAAGTAAGACTCTTTATTTTCTTTCTGGAGATTCTCCCCCCGCCCCCCCACCAAAGAATTCACTAAATAATGTATAAGATAAGAAGGTGGTGGTTTTCAGGAGGACTAAGGCAGAGTTTTTCCTTTGCGAGGAGAAAGTAGCCCATTGTTAAAGCATAGGATGAAATTCTGATTCTAATTTATTCTCTTTGAACCTAACGGTAAATGTTCCTTGCTGTAAGATGTGGGCCTTGGGGCATTTCCTCTAACTAAACCTTTCCTCCAGAAGGCTGGCACCTTTTGGGCTGCTGAGGAGAGATCCCCACCCCCACTGCACCATCCCTGACGCCTAAGATTCTGTTTCTTGGGGGAAGCAGTGGTCCGCTAAAGTCCTGGTGATAGTTACCGGTTACGACCAGCCAGCATCCAGATCCGGGGCGAGGCTTTCCCACCTTCTGCCCAGCGAGCCCAGCTTGCTCCTCATATGATTCTCGCTGACTGACCACAGTTTAGATCCACCTGCGTTCCTAAAACGGAAAGTCTGCTCTTTCTGATTGTGCACTAGTTTGTTCATTCCTTCACCCAACAAACATTAACTGGGTCCCTCCTTTGTGTTGGGGATGCCAAGATGGGTAAGGCTCTGAGATGCTTTGGGAGGAAGATGTGTATGTGTATACATATGTACAGGTATATTCACATGTGCATGTGTGTGTAAGCAGTACTGTCATGGAAGTAGGAGCAGAGTGCCAGGGTTACTAATAAAGTATGAATCTGCTGTAAATCTCTAGAATTTCTCTTCAGAATTAGAGTGGAACATCATTTAATCTAACCAAAGGAAACTGATTTCCCAAGGCCACTAATGAGATACCGAAAGAATGTGGGTCAGGACCTGGGCTTTTGACTTTTGTACTTCCTCACACCCAAATGTCTCACAAAACACAGACAGCCCTCCCGGGCAGTTTCCTACAGGGCAGTGAAAGGTGAGAATACAACATTTATATTTAGATGATAATTTTCTGTTCTATCATTTGCACTTCTAATTGTTTACAAACAAGCAGCATTTTTATTTGTAAGCTAGAGTATGACCTAACAGAGAGAGCCTGAACCTGAGGGTTAGTGGAAAGGCAGGGTGGAGGGGAAACTAACTTGTATTGAGTAGCCAGGCGCTGTGTACAGACACCCTGACCTCTGATGTCACACGTAGTCCCCTTGACAGCTCACCAGGTCCGCGATATTCTCATTTACAGACCAAGAGACTCGACACAGATGAATGGCCCACCCAAAGACATGCAGTCATTAGCCTGGTCAAGTTCAACTCCTTCTTTAGCTGTCACCCCCTCCTCCTCCTCCAGATAAACACAGCCCCACGGGTCTCCGACAAGGAGCTGTCACAGTGGGAACGTTCACACATGGTCATTGGATCACCCACTTTCAGCCCTCGCAGTGAGCTCTGTCCGGGCAGGGACGTGTGTGCCTGTTCACTCCTCTCAGATCCTTGCTGCGTGAGGAAGGTGTTCACTTGTTCAGGAGGTAGAGCTGGGACTCAAGTTCAGTTCTCACTGTTACCAGTAATCAGCCTGCATGAGGGTCTCTGGATCCTCTTTGGAAAGACAACACAGACAAAGTGTTACCTCCTATCCTTGTCTGTTTCCCTGGGGAAGTCAGGCATGAGCTTGTTCCCGTGGCCATCCTTCTGTCAGCTCTTCGGTTCTGCTGATGTTTTCTTCCGTGGTGCAGAGTGTTTGCTGTGCACCGCACTCACAGACTGGGAGCCGGGAAAGTGCATCTGGTCAGGCGTAGAAGGTAGCAGTGCAACACGGCAGCCTCACTGCGGAGGCCTGTGTGTTCCTTAACTGGCTCCCGGGTCTGTCACCCTCCACAGGGGCCGGCAGAGAACAAGGCAGGAGCCACACACACAAAGGAGCAGGTGCCATCTGTGTGCCATGCAGTAACACCCAGTGGGCTAGCTTTTGGGTTTTGTTTTTAAGCAAATACATGTATATCTTTAACTTCTTGGAATTGAGTGTTTTCTCAGAAAATATTTTTAGGAGGTTTGTGATCACACATAAATCAAATTCATAAAATAGATTAAATGACCGTATTCTCCTTCATATTTGCACTTGCAAAATTTCTGGACATGAAAGCCACAGGTTCTCAGGAGGGAGCAGCTGCAGCACGTTTTTGCAGGGAAGGGACCAGGAGGCAGAGGAGGCGAAGCTGTGAGGCAGGAGCGCCTCTTCCTGCTCCAGGCTCCCCTGCGTATCTCCCTTGCACTTCCCTGACCTGCACACAGGGGGGCTGAGGGATGGAATTATACAAACAGAACTGTACTTGCTTTTGTTCAGTTAAGCCAAAAAATCTTACTATTATTTTATGAACTCGATGTAGATAACAATTGACATGAGAAAGAGCATGCTTTTAAAGAGTCCTTAATACACGTCTTTACAATCATGTCGGTGGGGGGAGGAAGACAGTGCAGGCGTGTGTGTGTGTGTGTGTGTAAAGCTGTATATAATCAATGCCTTGAGCCTCTCCAAAGAGACCAGAACTGATTAGAAGAAAAAAGCTAACTTGATGCATATAATTCTGTATGCATATAAAAATACATTTGGCATCCGATTGAAAAGATACCAACTCACCATTTGATTTCCGTGGTTGACAACTCTCAAGATCTTGTGCTTCTATATTTCATTTTAAGAATTACTCCCTGAAGTACACACTGACTTCAAATTTTGAATAAAATCTACCATTCAAATGTATAGTCACTTAGAAAACTGAGGGTTTATTTATATCATATAAACCTGAACAGATTCTTAACTACAGCAGCCTAGTTCTACATGGAGAATCTGGATTTTAAAAAAAAAGAATAAGAAAAACTTTCACATACATTTCTCTATATATTTGGGATATTTTTAAAGGAGCCATCACTTATGGGAAATGGTATTAAAATCCTGCCGTACTGCAATTTAAATGCACCACTTCCCAGAAAATGTTTTAGTGTATCCTACTAAGGACTATAACGATCTTTTTTGGTTTTGTAGTTTTCTTCTTCCCTTGCAAGCTTAATTTCATTAAGAGATGTGGTTTCTTGGAGTGATCTTTGTGTGTTAACTGGTATGGAGAGCTCTCTCTTGGCTAGTAGCGGGCAAAAGTCATCTTTGTTTGCATGAAGTTAAGGTCTGATGAGCTAGGGTGAGCCTTTCATTTTAAGAACAGTTCAAGACTGGGGTGTTTTTAATGTTTTAATCTCTGTTTAAGAGGTTTCTGTTACGAGAGGAAAATTGATAACATTTTTAACTCAGCAAACTGGCTCTGCTCTAATCCCGCGTTTACGTGATTTATATTCTCCGTGGCAACACGCTGAACCTCAGAGTGACACCACTGTGGTGTAGATTGACTGCATTCCAAATGCTGGGATCGCATACATAATGTTTTTACTTTTAAATAATATTCAGACACCAGAATAAATACCATATGTGCACCGATGCTGGTTACAATGGAACCTTGTCATTTCTTGTGAGGGAGAACATTCTTCGTTTCTGATTCCTGTTTGAAATAAGTATGCAAAAAATAAATACATACATTGACAGCATTTTGAGGAGGTTTAGGCAATCACACAGCTAAGGCTGTGGCTACGATTCCTTGAAATGTTGCATTAAAACTAAAAAGAATCCTGTGTCGCCACCACCCCTCTTTGACAGGCATGAAGGCAAGGATTGATAGCCAGCATTTCCCGGTGCAGGGCTCAGTTGCTGTATTTTATATCTACAGCACTGTAGTTAAAGGACATCTGCTGAAGAGAAATCACTTCCATGAGCACTGTTCATAGGAACGGTGAGACTAACATGCTGATGACATTGTCATGGGGAGAGGAACACAGGTGATAGGAGGGGACGGGTTGATTGGAAAGCCAGGATTCATATGATGCCACAAACGCAGAACTGAGGTGGCCCAGCATCAAAACACAGTCTCTGTGGATCCATTCTTTCCCACATGATGTTGGAGGTTTCAATGTTTCATAATGTTTAGCAATACCTCCCAAGTCATGCATTTTTAGATTTTTGTTTTTATCCATCTTGGTTGGAATTCTAATCCACTTAGACATATTTTAAAATGCCTTTCATATTTGTGCATCTACAACAGGCTCCAACAAGTCAATCCACATTTTTTTCTTGGGGAAGCGTTTCAGTGCAGGTTTGTGCTGTTCCCATCAGCTGAACTCTATTGAATTAGTGCTTATGGCATTTTAATAATATTTCGTAGATGAGGAAATTCTGGGCATTGGACTTGATGGCTTCCCTACTCCTCTGCACCCATCCCCACCCAGTTTTGTGAGGTTTGCCCAGAATATATAGTGAGATTAATGTGTGAGTCATACATCATAATGCACCTCTAACAGCTTATCTGGCAGTGACTCTGAGTTTGGGGAAATCTTGCATCCTTTCTAGGAGTTATTTGTAGAAGCGTTCCCCATTATGAAAAATGCTCAAAAGTTGAGAAGTTCTGAGACCAATATTGAACCTCTAACATCCTGTCTCTCCTTGCAGCTTTCCGGATGATCCCTTATCCCCTAGAAAAGGGGCATCTCTTTTACCCTTACCCGATCTGCACAGAAACGGCAGACCGAGAGCTGCTCCCGTGTAAGTGCCCTCTTTCTGTTCAGCCCCTGAGGAGGGGCCTGAGTGGGGGTGGGAATGAAAAGTGTTTCATTATTCTTCTCCCAGACTCTGTCCTTATTTGATAGCATATGCATTAAAGTGACTTTAAAGTGAGTGGGTTTGGCTTCCTGCTCCTCCAAGTCTCCTCAGATTTGTCGAAGAGAAGGACCCCAGAGGACTGAAATTTGCATGAAGAGGCATCGTATTGGCCTGAGCACAGAGACCCCTACTTTGGGGCTGAGGTGGTCTGGACTGGGCTAGCGTGCAGAATGTGCCTGGCCACAGACTTCAGGGGAGCTGCAGGCGAGTCACTGATGGGAGAGCAGCACCAGGACCCTGGCATCTTTGCCAGAGGTGGATGTGGGGGGGCAGGCAGGTGTGTTCTCTGCGGTGATGCAATACTCTGGGCCGGAGGAATTCCCGCGAGCGCCTAAGGGCTGCGCCTAGTGAGTTGGCGTTGGCGTGCTATGTATGGAGCCATGTGCAGCCTGGGCGCCATCCCAGCCGGTGCTCGCCCATGCCACTGTGGACAGAATGGTTTGGTTGACTGTAGCACGACACAATTTGACAGTTCTGGGTAGCTAGTTGTTATCAGATCGTCTTGTGCACCAGGAGCATGTCCAGGCTCTTCTTGTGGCCCTGACTTAAGACCTATTTTTCTCCCTCAGATAATGAGCCCCAAATTTTGGCTATTCCTTCTCTCCCATCTCTCTCCTGCCACCCCCTCCTTTTACCAGCCCCAGTTATATCATACTCATAACTAGAACATATTTAAATGCTTTGCCCAGAGGAATTGTGTAACGTTGGAGCCCTGAGTGCATAGTAAATTGTCCAACACCAGCATTATTGAGCCGATCATAAATCTCCAATGTGGTGGGGTCTGGGTGCAGAACGAATCTCTGTCTCAAATGGCAGCAGCAGGAGGTAGCTCACCGGTCTCCTTGCTCGCTAGCCCCGGTCCGGTGTGCTCTTTGTTTCTGAGGGTGCTGGAGGCCTCGGTGACATGTCCTCACTGGCCGAGTCCAGTGGTGACGAGGGTCTGGTGTCTCACGTGCATTAGATTTGATTTCAGAAACCTTACCTTTGACTCCCCCTTCAGGGAGATCTCTGTTAGAGTTTCAGTTTTCTAGTATGAGACATTTTTCTGAAAGTACATTATTTTAAATGCAGTTGAGTCCAACTAAGTTTCCGTGGGGGTAGATTGACTGTTACAACCAGATTACGATTCGTAAAAGAAACTTTGCAGGAATAATCTTTATAAGGTGGAAGTAGGAAATTAGGGCTCACATTTATTTAGTTGAATGCAGTGGTCCAAGTCTGATTTCCCCCCAAAAGTTAGGGGGGCTGAGTTTTGAGAGTGAGGATATGGAGAAAGTCACACTTACTTAGTTGCCACAGTGGCCCCGAGGACACCTCCACCCCCATCTGAACCCTGCAGGTTGACCTCCGGGTTCAGGTGTGTGGTTGGTTGTGCTTTGTCCCTCTCGCCCTCTATGCCCTCTCTGCCCTTAGTGTCAGCAGAGTGGATGGCTTGGGGGTCTAAGTAATGAGAGCCGAGCGGTCAAGGAAAGGCCTTTACATCTTGGATTTGCCGAGGAAAGGGGGGCGCTTGGATCCTTATGGTCCAAGTGGCGATATTGTTCACACGCAGTCTCATGGTTTCCCTCTACCAGGGCCTCTCAGGGAGGCCAGATCCACCTCCCGGTCAGCACCCCTCCGGCCAGGTCACAGGCAGCCACGAGCCACAGGAAGCCGGGAGTCCATTTTCTCAGTGGTACCGCTTTTTGGTTTCCCCGAACCCAGTATTTGAAATGTGAAAGTTATGGAAGGTGCTCTTCAGAGCACCAGTTATTCATTCATTCATTCATTCATTCATTCATTCAGGTGGTACTTGGAAGTATAATCATCATCATGAGTCTCCTACAGTTGTGCCAGGTGACCCTCGGCTCTGGCCAGAGAAAGGGGTCCTGCTGAGCGTCTCTCGCTCTGGCAGCCCCTCCCTCAGCACACCTAGCGTGTACCGGGAGAAAACACCAGATGAACTCGTACCGCTGCCTTATCATGGCAAACAATTGCAGGCAGGTGAAAACCTAGAGGCAGGGTCTTTTTTCAGTGCACTGACTTTGGATTTTCCAGGTAGTATTCAGTGAACATGCGTTTTACAATTTGAATAAAGTTTTGTTTCCTGTGTGTTCACTTTCAAGAAAGGAAAGTTATATATCAGGCATAGATGGTGTTCTGTCCCTGCCCGTGAACGTGTGGCATCCCACCTGAGCTCCACGGTGCTCCTATAGAGCACTGCTGGTGGAACACGGGCTTGGGAGAAGCAGTCAGGCAGCCAAAGGCCGGCTCCAGTGTTGGCCCTGGTTTGTTCAGTGCCCTGCAGGTTTCATTTGCAATAGGCTTAAGCCACAGCTCTGAAGAGTCCATCCCAAATAAAGGAATTCCCTGAGGGATGCACGGGGTCCCCTCTGATATTCCCTCTGATCTTCTCCACAGCTTTCCACGAGGTCTCAGTTTACCCAAAGAAGGAGCTTCCCTTCTTCATCCTCTTCACTGCCGGACTGTGCTCCTTCACAGCCATGCTGGCCCTCCTGACGCACCAGTTTCCGGAACTTATGGGGGTCTTCGCCAAAGCTGTGAGTATTTGCCAGGAGGGAGGCTTTGGGGAAGGGGCAGGCAAAGCAAGAGAAGCAACCTAAGAGAGATGGGGGGCAGTTGTGGAGAAAGGGATATGGCTGTATTGATCACTTGCTCGGTATTTAATTTCCTTGTCATCAGTGGAGTCTAAGGGTTCAGGGCTCTAGTGAGAAAGTGTAGATTGTTCGTTAATTCGAGCCTTACTTTGTTTCCTACTCAAAGAATTCTCAGCCATTCCTGCAGGTCTAAAAGGATTAAATAAATAATGAAGGGACTCTTAGCAAAAAGAACAATGTGTGGGAGATTATTTAGTTTTGTATAATCGAATGATACTATTATATTTTAAATCTTCAGATATTATGAGTCTTTTTTTGAGAAATATGAGATTTAAATTTTCAAAGATGGTTTAAATGATTACAAACGTTTGGCTCAGCAGTCGCCAACCGGTGGTCAGCAGACCACTGGTGGTCCATGAAGTCCATAAGGTTGGCACTGCTGCTTTGGCTGATTTGGGAAATGAACTGAGAGGGTGTGAAGAGCTTGTCGTAGTAAGAAGTACACAGATAGGACAGTTAGAAATAGGGAAATCCATTAAGAATCTTTAAGGAGGATTGTGGAGAGGAGCTTTAATCAGAAAAGCCACCTGTAATTGACCATCAAGAACCACTGTTTCCTTGTTGAAACTGACATGTTGGCCTGCACACATACCGAGGGTAAGTTAACTGACTTTGCCACAGATGAGTTTCAAACAGAAGAAATAAGGAAAAGCATATCCATTGTTTTCCTGGAACTCCTGATTTCAAGGCAAATGGAGTCCGAAAGGATGATTTTTAACGTGGCTCGGTTGATTTCATCCCTTTCCAGATGATTGACATTTTCTGCTCGGCAGAGGTCAGGGACTGGAATTGCAAGAGTACTTTCATGCGTTTTGAAGATGAACTGGATATCCCACCGGCACCTCAGTCTCAACATTTCCAAAACTGAACTCATCACCCTTCTTCCTCACCACCAAATCGCTCCCCCTGAATCCCTGGCCTCCACGGTAGCATCCTGTCACTCAAGCCAGAGACCCAGCGTCCTCCTTACTCTCCCCTCTCTCACTTCCCATCTGTCCCGCCTCCAAAACCTGCTGGGTGTAACCTCTAAGCCACTAGACATCAATGTAATTCACATCTCCTCTCCTCCTACTGCCATGGCCTCTCCCTTAGTTAGGTCTTCATTCTTTCTTGCCTGGAATCCTATAAGTCTTAACCGGTCTCCTTGCTTCCCGTCTTATTCTTCGCCGGTCTTTCTTTCATACTGACACAAAAATGTGCTTCCTAAATTGCAAGTCAGAGAATGTTACTTTCTTGCTTGACTTTCTCCAGTGGTTTCCCCACCATCTTTAAGCATGGCATATAAGGTCCCTTCTGTTCTGGCCCTTGTTTGCCTCTTCAGCCTTCATCTCTCCCAGCTCTTTCTCAGGCACTGCTCACGGGCCATAGTGAATTGCTCACCCTTCCCAGATGCACCAGGGTCTTGTATACCTCAGTACCTTTGCACATGCTATTTTCTCTGCATGGCATGGTCTTTCCCATCACCACCCCCACTTGTCCACCCTACTAGTGCCTCTTTATTCCTTTATACTCAGCTTTCTTTCTAAATTTCTCCTAAGCTGAGTTAGATCTCTCCTCTACGATCCCACAGTATTCCATGCATACCTATATGATCACATTTATTGTATTATGTAACTGTTGAAAACTTGTCTGTCCCCCTTGTAGAATGGGAGCTCCTTGAGAGCAGCACCGTGTCTTCCTCATCTCTGTATCCCCAAAGCTATGCATAGCGCCTTGCACATAGCGGGTTTCCAATAAATGATTATCAAATAAATAAATGGTAGTGGTTTCTGCAGAAAGAATCAATGTAAAAATCAGATACAGCCTAGCATTTCTTCTCTTCTTTTATACTTATAATTGTAGATTATTGGGGTTGAAAGGGACCTTAAACAAATTGCCTTCAACGGAAACATGATGGAGATCATTTAGACTCATCTTGAATACTTTCAGCTCACCTACTAGACATCAAAGCCCATTTCACTGTTCAGTCACTCAGAACTTGTCTTTATCCTGATAAAACTGGCCTCCCCTTAACTTCCACTATTGTCCTACTCTGCTCTCCAAACTACAGTACAAAAGCCTATTTCCTCTTGCAAATTCTTAAGATAACTGATGCATTGATGGCCGCCTCTAACTTCTGACTGGCTACCTCCTCTTTTCTCCAATCAGAGCATCTTAAATTTCCTATGTCTTCTGTACACGGCATGATTTCTGTACCCCGTAAGAATATATTTACAACACTAGATGATTACTGTTCCTTCTATGTTCATACTATCTTAAAAATTTTTTAAGGCATATTTGTAAAAGTATGTTATTGGCCCTGTATTCTTTATTAAACTAAAAAAATAGCACTTGGTGGGAGTTTTTTATTAGAATAGAGATTTTCCATCTCTAGATTGCATAACATTCACCTGGTCCTACCTCCAGAAACTCGGAATTCTGAGGCTTAGCACCAGGAATCTTTTTAACGAGGACCCAGATTCTGATGTCGGGTTGAGGACCAGATTTCCCTTCAAGAACGTTACCAGTGTGAGGTGAACACTTCCTATGGATCAGTGGTTTCCCCGGGCTGCACCTGGGAGCCATCTGGGGAGACTGACAGTTACTGATGCTTGCCCTCACCAATCCCCAAGGGAGTCTGGCTGGATTGGTTTGAGATGCAGCCGGGCCATCTGATTCTCAGACACTCCCGAGGTGATCAGGGATGGAGCCAGGGCTGTGGGAGCCATGGCTGTGAACGAAAGGACTCAGCCTGACCCTGTGTTAAGTGGGGTGGGATGGGAGGCTGGGGACAGTAAACAGAGGACTGGGTGTTCTCTAGGGAAGCGGTGCAGCCCCGAGTGTCCCTGACGTGTTCATTGTGGTGCCAGACAAGGGGGCTCTCCTTGTTTAATGTTTTCAAGTCTTGGTTTTGAATCCAAGATCAAATTATTGAACAAAGTGTAAGTTTGCCTTTGCTGGGCTCATCGTATTTTTTACTCTACCAAGGTGTGGTCGTTTGGACAGCTACTTGTAATATTTAAATATGACTTAGATAAATTTGCTTTTAAACCTCTGTCTGGAGGACCACATTCATCTTGCCCTTCATTAAGGTTTAATAGTTTCCAAAATGTCCGGAGAGACGTTGTGGGGAAGGAAGATGGATGGCCTGAACGAGATGGCCGCGTCGCCCTGCCCCTCCCCACGCCGCCCGCAGCCTTCTCCAATCACACTTCACCCTCGTCACCTCGCAGGGCCCTCGCGGAGCCTCCTGCGGGTTATCAGGCTGCCCTCCCGGCTGCCCGCACCATCTGCTGCCTGGGAAACGGACTTTCCCAGCCCCCGCCTGCAGGATGGCCCTGGGACAGTGACTCATGGCAGATGAAGAGATGGCCCTGCCACCCCAGGCCGTGTGCGGAACGGGGACGCCACAGAGTGTTTACACGTTGATGAGCAGCCAATAAGGAAGCCCGGCCAATGGGCGCCACTGGAAATAGAGGCTTCGGCCGGCCTCCCCTATCTAATCTGCCTCAATGACTGAGGACTGACTCCTCCCAGAACGTTTGGCTCCCCAGATAAGGTTGCTCATATAAATAAGTTATGTGCCAGCCCAGCCCCTGAGAGAACGTGGGAAGGTCAGCACTCTGACCCCTTCGCTTTAGCCCTGCAGTCTTTCTCCTTCCTTCCCCGAGAAGGGCCGCTGGCTTCTGACTCTCGCCTTCACTTACGGGCCCTGCCCCCTTTGAAGTCTGATATTGATTACAGTGAAATGTCAATGGTCTGATTGCAGGGGCACCTGGAACTTATTCAGATAAGCAGAGGCGCTTCTAATGTTAACTGAGCACGCTGGGCGCCTGGCCTTCTGAGTGACGGTGCTTCAGGGAAAGAGGGCCAGGCGATTGAAGTGTCACTCTCCCTTTTCCAGTTGTCCCGTTGCCTTTTCTCGCCAGCAGACACTGATGGACTCACGGCGCATTTGGCCATAGGTCTCTGCCCCCCCGGACAGAGGTTGGACTCTGAAAAAGATGAGCCGTTCCAGGGTTGCCTGGTGCTGCTCCCTCGGCTTCCCCTCCACACAGTCAATCCCCAAGTCTACGAGGGAAGCTCTGCTCCTCTCTGTGCACTGGCTGAATCTCTGGCCAAAAAAAATAAAACAAAATAAAAAAAGAACTGATTTTCAAACAGGCAAAGAAAGATAAACAACCATCCCAAGCAAGCTGGGTTCTATCAAACTTGTTTCTATGCCTCCAATGGGAGCTGCTGACCTTCGTTTTGTTCCTAAGTGAGAGGGCTCGGCAGCTTCTCCTGTGGGCGGCGTGGGGAGGAGGCTGTGGGGCAGGTGCTCGGGAGGAGAGCAGCTCAGTCATAAAGCGAGCGCATCACCCTGGTGCCGTGAGAAAACGGGTCTCTCTTCTCAAGTTCCTCAGGATGGAACGTTCTAGATGTGAGCAAGAGCAGTAAATTCTCATATACCTTGGAGGCAGGGGGACTGAAATCTCTGTGGAACCTATGTGAGAGGCAGTGGAGTCCAGGGAGGCAGGCCCCATTGTCTGGCTGCACCTTGGGGAAGAGGAATGATTACAGACATCGAACTCGGAGAGAGGCTCACCGCTTGGTGTCCAGAGGCCTTGCCTTTTGCATTTGTTACCAGGTCAGCGCCCAAAACAAAGCAAACAAACAAACAAACAAACAAACAAACCGACTTTGTAACAACACCCCCATTCATTCTGCCGCCCGAGCTGCGGCACCCTGTTCCAGTGCAGGGAACAGCCCAGTGCTGAGCCGCCTTCCTCTGCCGCATGCAGGTACTCGGGTAGCTCCTCCCCCTCAGGCACAGGCCAGCGGTCTAAGCCTGTTCCTGGTCAGCTCTTTAGGACACGATAATCTCACCTGCTCACTAGGTCTTCCAGCCCCTGTCGGAACCTGGTTTACCCAGATCCTTTAGCACCCAGCTCCTCCCTATGGACATGAGTATGACAGGCAAATGCTGTGGTTTATGGAGCATGGTATTCTCTGAACACATAAAGATAAGTTTTAAAATGTGTATGTATTTTGTATTCTCTGAACACATAAAGATAAGTTTTAAAATGTGTATGTATTTTTAATTGTATAATGTTATTGTGTTGGGTTAATGCAATCAGCAGACTTGTTCCATATTATCCTTTCATGACCAGGATTTTGCAAACGCTTTCAGAGGAAGTAATTACTCATTTCTGGGCCAAATAACTCTCGTGATGCCTTACAACTTCGTTCCACTCTAAACTGAAAAGGGTAGGCTTAGGGAGTCAGTTCTGTAGGGCGAGCATCTAACGTGGCTCTGGGCACTCCAAGGCTAGTTTCAGGAGGAGACTGGAGAGTGCCATCTCACATGCACTTGAGGGGAGAAAGTCATCCGTCTTTGCTCAAGTCCTAAGTGGCTGCCTGTTCCTTAACTACAAACCCTGCCTGGCTTTTAGGCCCCTCCTGGCATCCTTCTAGTTGCCTTTCAGCTCCGCCTGTAACTCGTCCAGCTAAGCTTGACTATTCACCATCTTCTGGTCATCCCAATCCTTTTCCCATTTCTCTTCCAGTTGTTTGTTGGGCCTAGAGGGTCCACCTACTCCTGTTTCTTTTCTTATCACCTTACCCCATCTCTCCTTTTGATGTCCAATCATCATTGGGCTCTATCTCAGGTGCCTCATTTTAAGATGTTCCCGATCCTTTCAACAGGAAGCATTCTCTCCCTTTTGGAATCCCCCTGGGGCTCCTATTCCATCCTGGCCACTCTGCTGGGTGCAGGCCTAGGTCCCCTCCCTCCCAGATCCAGGCTTGGAGATTTCTGACTGGCAGCTTCATCCTAGACCCCTTTATACCTCACCCAGCACTATGTGACGCACTGAGCAAACATATTTAATGGATGTAAAAGACAGCACAGAGAAAGGCTCCAAGTCTTAACACTAGCTTGGGTTTTCTTTGCATCCTCACACTTGGTGATCCAGCTGTAATGTGTCACGGGACCTTCTCAGTGTATACTCTACTGGTTCTTTTTAAAAAGGAGGAGGAAAGATTCTGAGGTCAAATGAACCTGGGAAACTTGCCTACCATAGCCTGCCTTGAAGACCTGCAATCTACAGAACATATGACCTGTAGAGAAGCCTGTTCTAACTTCATAAAGTATACTGTCCACTCATTTTTTTGACCCAAGAACCATGTTCCCCCTTTGCATATACACTCACATCACTTCTATGGGAAATTCTTGGTAATACAGACAGTGATGCCGTAAGAAAACGAGTCTCTTTTCGGGGACGAAAGGAGAAAGACAAGGGATTAGGACAAAGGACTCCTCAGTATTCAAACCAGTATTGGACCCCAGTGAGGTGGTACCTGGGTTCTGAAGAGGCAGGCAGAGGGCAAAGAAATCTCCAGCGGACCCTCGAGCCTGGCTGGGTTGGGCCCCTCTTCTGCCAAATATTAGATGTTTATGACATGAAGGCAATTCTTCACAAGAACACAATCAGAACAGTTTCGAGATTACATTAAATGGGTCTCGGGCAAAGCACTTAGGTTTCTTAAAAGGCACCGTTACTGTGCTAAATTACTCTCTGCACGTAAAGCAGGGAGTTGAGTAACCAAATGAAATGGCTCCCCAAGCTCTCCGAGCAGCACCTCTTCCACAAGGTCATGCCGTCAGCGGGCTGGCCGGTTGGCTGCCCTCCCCAAGCTCCCGTGATGCATCCTGGTGCAGGCTGCCATGTGGCAGGCGGTCAGAAATGAGCATGGCTGCGCAGGTGTTTGGGAGACGATAGGATCCAAGGCAGCTCACAACCAAACAACAAACCTGACTTTAAAAATTCCCTTTTCCACTTAGTGAGTTCCATACCCAGCTGGGTAAGCAGGTGGTCACCATTTTCCACTCTTTAGCCCACTTGCTGCCTATCAATCCCTTTTGACAGCGATCTGCACGGGCAGCCTGGCAATCCTAACGCTGACAGGAGGACTCAGAATTGCGGGGCGGCTCTCAAGTGGCACAGGGGCTGCCAGAAACACTTCCCCCTTTCCTCTCAGGGCTCAGGGCCGGGGGCTGTCGGTTTGGACATCAGCCGGTGTTTCCCGTAGACATAAATACGAAGTAGCCTTTTGAGACTTTCATAACGCAGAACTGTAGGTGCAGAGTTGGGTCGGAGGGTTTATTTTAAAACCTTGAGTGAAATCTCTCCTGATACCTGCGCCCTTCTGCTCTCTCTGCAGTTCCTCAGCACGTTGTTCGCCCCCTTAAACTTCGTCATGGAGAAGGTGGAGAGCATCCTCCCCTCCAGCCTGTGGCACCAGCTGACCCGCATCTAGGGAAGCCCGCCGTCCTCCCCCCTGCGCCCGTGGACTGCACCAACGTTCCCACGCCGACACCTCCCAGAGCACAAGAAAGCATGACTTTGAAAAAGGGAAGCCGTTTGGAGATTTAGAACATTCATGGGCTGTCTGTTCCATATTAAAGCTGTTTTTGTTGTACAAAATTTATTCATGTTTATTATTTCCTTCAAAAAAGAAAAAAGTCAAAAATAAACTTTTGTGTATTGCAGTAACCAGTTGTGTCCTTCCTATGTCTCCCAACCCTAAAAATTTTGGTGTCCCCAATAAACCTGCAGGCGTACGTTCATTTACCAGGGAGCCCGTGGTTTACTCTGCTGCTGAAGCTCAGCCCTTAGAACTCCTGCCGTCAGTGGCTGGGGAAATGGCACCTCTTTGGTTCAAGAGCACCACCTTTTCAGCCCCAAACTGGGTGTCCTCATGGGCCAGTGCTCAAAACAAACTCTCAAAGTGAATGACAGACAGGAAGTGCGCGTGAGATGACACCCCTCCCCTATAGCAGGTTGTTCCAGTTCAGACTCGACTCATTGACTGGAACTCAACACTTTCGTTCTCAGAAGCATTTTGTTTCGTTTTCTGCCAACTCATGAGAAGGAAACTTTTGATGAGGTTATAGACTCAACAGTTTGCTGTAGAACCAGACCGTTTCACCCACATGGCCGTTTTAAAATATTTTCTCAGAAGGGTATTTTTTTTTAATATATTTTATTGATTTTTTTTTTTGCCCCCCTCCCTTCCTCCCATATATACCCTCCCTCCCCAGAGTTTTATGTCCATTGGTTGTACTTATATGCATGTACACAAGCCCTTCGGTTGATCTATTATCTCCCCCAGATCTTCCTCCCCTCCCCACTGTAATTTGACAGTCTGCCCGTTGCTTTACTGTCTCTATATCTGTCTCTTGGTTCATCAATTTATAATGTTCTTTATCATCCACAAATGAGTGAGGTCATGTGGTGTTTCTCTTTCATTGACTGGCTTATTTCACTCAGCATGATGTTCTCCAATTCCATCCAGGTTGCTGCAAATGATGAGAATTCCTTCTTTTTTATGGCAGCATAGTATTCCATCATGTAGATGTACCATAGTTTTTGGATCCAATCATCTGCTGACAGGCACCTAGGCTGTTTCCAAATTCTGGCTATTGTAGATTGTGCTGCTACGAACATAGGGGTGCATATATTCTTTCTGATTGGTGTTTCTGGTTTCTTGGGATATATTCCTAGAAGTGGGATTACTGGGTCAAATGGGAGTTCCATTTTCAGTTTTTTGAGAAAACTCCACACTGTTCTCCACAGTGGTTGCACCAGTCTGCATTCCCACCAGCAGTGCACGAGGGTTCCTTTTTCTCCGCAACCTCGCCAACACTTGTCGTTTGTTGATCTGTTGATGTTGGCCATTCTGACCGGTGTGAGATGGTACCACATTGTTGTTTTGATTTGCACCTCTCGGACAATTAGTGACTTTGAGCATGTTTTCATGTGCCTTTTGGCCTTCCTCAGAAGGGTACTTTTTAACATCACGTGTGCATGGCTTGGAATATGAGCATTCTTTGAATCTTTTAGTGATTGTTTGTTCTCACCGCTTTTAAAAGCTTTCTACATGATTTACACCCGCTGAGTGTTTGGCTATAGCAAAAGAAGAAAAACAAACGTGGATCCTCTATCTGAAGTGGAACATACCTCTACTTAAAACCTCAATCCGGTGCTTTAAAAAAGGAGGCGGGGCTGTTATTTACGTGCTTTGTTTCCTTTTATTTAGGATCCGAATCTTTCCCCAGAAGCCTTCACATAGCAGCGTGTGGGGAAAGGGCCACAGCACCTCCTCACAGCTGGACCCGAGGCTCCGGTCCCCGTCCCAGAGCAGAGCCAAGCGGGCGGGTCATGTTCACACCCCCCGGGTTGCTCAGGCTTCCAGCAAGCTTGTGTGTACCTCCTCCGTGCACAGCCCCGGTGGGGACATACACCTGCCTGCTTCCCTTAGGACGTTTTCTGGAAGAGGCTGAACTAACTGCACGCCAGTAGGGCTGCTCCTGGGGGTAGGGCCCTGTCTGCCTCTTTACCACTTACTCCCCCAACACAACCCTTGACGGGACGGGTGCTTAAGTGACTCATGGCATTGATGTAACACGTGACAGGAAGACTTTAGTTCACGTTCAGAGGAGAGAGATTGGTTCCCAGAGAAGGACCAGGGGAAGCACAGAATTACAATTTGGAGCTGGAAGAATAAGTAGTTATGTTTATAATTATTTGAATTAATAGATGGGGATAACATCTATGAAGTATCCCTTAGCTTCAACTTATATGTGTTGGAATACAAATAAGAGTCCACAGTGATGTCCACCTGCCTGAGCTGGGGACGCTAGACTGTGACAAGACTTCACAGAAATGTTTGAGATGCCGAAACCGGTTTGGCTCAGTGGATAGAGCGTCGGCCTGCAGACTGAAAGGTCCCAGGTTTGATTCCGGTCAAGGGCATGTACCTTGGTTGCAGGCACATCCCCAGTAGGGGGTGTGCAAGAGGCAGCTGGTCGATGTTTCTCTCTCATCGACGTTTCTGACTCTCTATCCCTCTCCCTTCCTCTCTGTAAAAAATCAATAAAATAAAAAGGAATCTTCTTTAAAAAAAAAATGTTTGAGAGCCTGGAGGCAAAGGCCCAGCGTTCGTTACATACTAGTATCAGGAGCTCTCGTTCCAGGAATCCCAGCAGGAATCCCAGCAAATAGCACAGGATGGAAAAGTTCATGTCGCTGTAATAGGACTGTAGAGCAGTTTCATGAGCAGGGGAGGCAGAAGTTAGACTGTGAGGGTAAAGGGCTGAATTGGAGAAAGGTGGTGGCAGAGAAAGGTGGTGGCAGAAGGAAGGCACCAGCCTGGGTATGGAGACCATTGAAGAAAGTGGGTCCATGATCCCAGAGGAGCTAATCACATGAGGAGGAGGGGGACATTTCTAAACTTGTGTGAACGTAATCCCTTTAACCTTAAAAACCAGAGTCTCTCTTCAGGCCAAGGCTGTGACCCCAATGCTCCCTACTCCTCTGCCTCTTCCATTACTCTGCTCGGCTCTTTTATTATTATTATAATACTAGAAGCCCAGTGCAAGGAATTCATGCAGGAGTAGGGTCCCTAGCAGCTGCCAACAGCCATCCAGGGCCTTCCTTCCTGAAGTTGGCTGGCTGGCCCCAACCCCTGATCAAATTCCTGGTTGAGGAGACAATTTGCACATTAAGCTTTTATTATATAGGATTATTATTTTAATCTTTGTTGTTGAAAGTATTACATATGTCCCCCTTTTTTTCCCCATTGATCTCTTCTAGCCCCAGGCCTTCACCACCTTATTGTCTGTGTCCATGGGTTAATGACGTTGATTCTACCAATCCATGAACACAGTATATTCTTCCACTTGTTTAGATCTTCCTCTGTATCTCCTTTCAATGTCCTGTGTGCTTTTCCAGGTTAGCAGCAGGGGCTCAGGCCTGAGTCAGCACACTGCCCCAAGTTCCCCAGGCTCCTCCTTTGCCTATTAGGCAGCTGTCAATCTTAACCACTAAATACCCTGTTTCCCCGAAAATAAGACAGTGTCTTAGATTAATTTTTCCTCCCAAAGTTGTCCTAGGTCTTATTTTCAGGGGATGTCTTATCTTTCCATGTGCTAGGTCTTATTTTTCGGGGAAACACGGTCGTCTGTTTCTAAGGAGGCGTTAGGCAGGGGACGTGCTGTTGAGCTTTCAGGGAAAGCGGTGGCTGTTTCCTTGTCCCTACTCCTCCGCCAGGGGCCCCAAGTATTACTCTGCCCTCGGCTGGACAGAGGTCCTTGTATGGAGACCACAGGGTTGGCTGGAAGCCTGGAGTTTTTAGTCAGCTCTCCAGTGTGAGGAGAGTCAGTCTGATTCCCAGGGTAGTGGGGCGGATGTCCCCTTCCTCAGTCTGGTCACTGAGACTGTTTCCTCTGAAAAGCTCAAAATGCAGGGTGGGGCAGGCTGGGCCCTGGGGGTGGGGCGGGCTGTATCACCCAGGGCAGGTGTTTTTCCTTTACCTGCCCTCTGGCTGCCGGGAGTGGCCGGCTCCTCTCTGGAAAAATGGCCGGTCAGTTTGGGGGCCTACAACCAAATGCTCCTGGCTGCTGTTCCTCCAGTCCCCCACAACGCCTCCAGCCCCGCCTCTCCCCGGCACCCCGAGCCCACATCTCCCTCACTGCACCAACGTGAGTACTTACAAATGAAGACTCCTGGGCTCTCGGTTTAGAGAAAATAATAAATGGAACTGCCACTCTCTTCCTACCAGCTCGGGTGTCTGGGCTCCAGGCACCGCTGCAGCCAGCAGCCCTGCCGCCTCCAGGGCTGGGTGCTACCTGGGCGGCTGGGTGTTACCTGGGCAGCTGGGTGCTACCTGAGCGACTGGGTGCTAATGGGCGGCTGGGTGCTACTGGGCGGCTGGGTGCTACTGGGAGGCTGGGTGCTACTGGGAGGCTGGGTGCTGGGTGCTACCTGAGCGGCTGGGTGCTAATGGGCGGCTGGGTGCTACTGGGTGGCTGGGTGCTAATGGGCGGCTGGGTGCTACTGGGTGGCTGGGTGCTAATGGGCGGCTGGGTGCTAATGGGCGGCTGGGTGCTACTGGGTGGCTGGGTGCTACTGGGCGGCTGGGTGCTACCTGGGCAGCAGGCCTCCAGGCTCCAGGCCTGTCTTCTGAGGGAACAGACCTCCAAAGCAGAGTTCCCTCCTCCCTCTGGGCCCACGGCCCCTGGGAGCTGGGGCAGCTCTCCTCGGGACCTCTCCCTCCCTCCCTGTCTCCATGTTGTCCGTCCTCCCCGATAGAAGCCTCCTCAGCTGGAAACTCCAGGTGGACGTTTCCATTGGGTTGTATTTCCAGTCTGGCCCTGGGACAGTGCAGGAGGGTCTGCCTATTCAGCTGCCATTTCTTCTCTGCTCAGCTCCGAGGGAGCCCTGACGCCCTCTTGCCCTCCGGGCCTCGCCAGGACT